TCTACCACTGAGCCACCTTCCCAGCCCCAAAAAAGAAATTTCATTAAAAATAAATCTACTCAGGGCTGGAAAGTGACTTAGTGGTGCTTACCTTGCATGCATGAGGCCCTGGGTTTGATTACTCAGCACCACATAAGCAGAAAGATCTGGAAGTGGCACTGTGGCTCAAGTGGCAGAAGGCTATCCTTGAGCTAAAAAGCTGAGGGACAGCGCCCAGGTCCAGGGTTCAGGCCCCATGACTGACCAAAAAAAAAAAAAATCTACCCTAGGCCACTTAAAAAGGGACACAACCAAGCTGTATAGAGTATCAAACAGAAGATTCTACAAAAGGCATCCCTCTTAGTAAGTGCTCTTGTTGGCTAAATTTTCACAGAGAACAAATCTATCAGCCAAGAGATTAAAGGATACGATCCCTGAAGACATTTAACCACTGAACACAATGGAGAGCCGATGCCTTCCCAGCTCACTTTCAAAAGGTGTATGATTTTATTATGTGCCTTAGAGGTGACGGAACCGCTCTGCCAGAATTAACCCTAAGTCCCTGTCACTACAGCAACACAGCTCATTAATGTAAGATATTCTCCTATCCAGAAAACACCCAGGACAAGGCAGTCAGGTGAAATCACTTCCCAGAACATATGTCTGGAATGAAAAAAAAAAGGGAGACCTTGAAATGCTCAGTAATTATAAAGGAATTAAAGATAAAAACAGGAGATGGAGAAAACCTGGAATTAGAGACTGGGTAGTGATTGACCTTAAAACATCTCCTCCAATCCTCCTGTTTACAGAAGTAAAAACTAGACCTAATTCTGCCACAAAGCTAACAGCTGGCAGACTTCATTTTCAAACCAGTGGCTTCCTCAGACAACCTTAGTATTTAAGTATGTCTTAACTTCTTCAAAGACCTGAAACTCTTACAAACAAGGTAGCCAACAGTGGGTGTTGCTGTCATCAAAGGAACCCGTCCCACTGCCCACACGACAATTCCCGCTGACACTGCCCTATCTCTTGGGCAATCAAGAAACAGAAATACTACTCTATGGATCTCCAGATATTAAA